AGAGACATAGGAGAGAAAGAGAGGCATAGCGGGAGAGAGAGACATAGGAGAGAAAGAGTGGCATTGCGGGAGAGAGAGACATAGGAGCGAAAGAGAGGCATAGGAGAGAAAGAGAGGCATAGGAGAGAAAGAGAGGCATTGCGGGAGAGAGACATAGGAGAGAAAGAGAGGCATTTCGGGAGAGAGAGACATAGGAGAGAAAGAGAGGCATAGGAGAGAAAGAGAGGCATAGGAGAGAAAGAGAGGCATAGGAGAGAAAGAGAGGCATTGCGGGAGAGAGAGACATAGGAGAGAAAGAGAGGCATTGCGGGAGAGAGAGACATAGGAGAGAAAGAGAGGCATAGCGGGAGAGAGAGACATATGAGAGAAAGAGAGGCATAGCGGGAGAGAGAGACATAGGAGAGAAAGAGAGGCATAGGAGAGAAAGAGAGGCATAGGAGAGAAAGAGAGGCATTGCGGGAGAGAGACATAGGAGAGAAAGAGAGGCATAGCGGGAGAGAGAGACATAGGAGAGAAAGAGAGGCATAGCGGGAGAGAGAGACATAGGAGAGAAAGAGAGGCATTGCGGGAGAGAGAGACATAGGAGAGAAAGAGAGGCATAGCGGGAGAGAGAGACATAGGAGAGAAAGAGAGGCATTGCGGGAGAGAGAGACATAGGAGAGAAAGAGAGGCATAGCGGGAGAGAGAGACATAGGAGAGAAAGAGAGGCATAGGAGAGAAAGAGAGGCATAGGAGAGAAAGAGAGGCATAGGAGAGAAAGAGAGGCATAGGTGGATAGAGAGACATAGGAGAGAAAGAGAGGCATAGCGGGAGAGAGAGACATAGGAGAGAAAGAGAGGCATAGGAGAGAAAGAGAGGCATAGGAGAGAAAGAGAGGCATAGGAGAGAAAGAGAGGCATAGGTGGATAGAGAGACATAGGAGAGAAAGAGCGAGACAGAGAAGAGAGAGAGAGAGAAAGGGAGAGATATAGAGACAATGACAGAGAGAGAAATAAGCTGCTCACAACCATGTCCTAACAGACAGTTAACTTAATGAACTTTTCTTAAATGATCTAAAAGTCAGTGTTCTAATTGATTTGTATTGGACAAAAACTCTATTTTTGAGAATTGATTGGCTGGCTAGTCAAACTAAAGACTAATAATAGTTAAATTATAAACGTATGTAAAGTGTATGTCAAATAACATATTCAAATGAAGGGGCGGGTCGGGACACGTCAACATCATTTGACTTTGTCAGGAAACGTGACGCCACGCCCTAGGACTCCCCGTCTATCAGCATGAGGACTGTCCCGTATAATGAAGACATGGCAAGGGAGGGGTGACAACTTCCTCGCTCGGCCCCGGCATCGAGGGCTGACGATAAAGTGCTGACTGCTAGCAAATTATACTCACTGGTAATCTCATAGAACCAAAATATGTTCTTTTTTATTTATACACTTTCACACCACCTTTGTCTCTCCCCATCTCCTTTTCTGAAATAAAAGAGACAATATTGAAAGAGAACTATCTAGTGCTAGAAGTTATGATAAGTACAGCATTTTGAATTTGATGTCAGCTCGGTAGCTACGATGCTGTCTAAACAGTGATGGAATCTATTATATCTCGATATGGTTAAAATCATGATGCAATCTGTTATATCTCAATGAATGAGAAGCAGTCAAACCTGTAAATATCAAGATTCCTGCTAATAATTTTTAAAACTTGAAATAACTTGAGTCACCTCGTTGTGAAGAATCTACTATTTATAAGGGAAAATACAACTCATTCACTGATTCACTCACTCATTCACTGATTCACTCACTCATTCACTGACTCACTCACTTATTCACTCACTGATTCACTCACTCATTCACTGATTCACTCACTCATTCACTGATTCACTCACTCATTCGTAAACTACATAGAAAGCATTTTTAAACTATCACAAATTCCGTATTTTAAAGCATTTTTTTTTCTTTTCCCTAAAGTCTTCTTATTTTTAATACTTACGTTATATCCTATGCCCTTCAAATAGACTCCAACACACACTGCATGCATTTTCGTTTTACTTAGATCTTTATCAAATGCAAATAAATAAACTTCTTTTTTTTTCTTGTCAGTAACTCCGATCCCATATATAGTAGTCACTATTGACTCCAGGTTAAAGTTGACAGGTGTGGAATCGTCCATTATTTTTCACGTACCAGGAGAACCGCATAGGTCAGGGCTTAAGACTTTTTAAAAATGATAATGACACATCACCTGCATGATAAACCTATATTTCGGTTTATAAATGGATGTGGAAAAACTTCATATCATAGCCATCTACCAGTAATCTAATTTTTTAAAAATCGGGAGGTGTTTACCCAGTTTTCACCTTTTTAAAGATAGTCACAAGTGTGGAACACTATAGATGTCATTTATTTGACCTGCGCATTTAGCTTAATATTTACATAGTGATTTAGATTATCGGAAGTTAAATATGAGTTTGTATTAGTATACATAATTTAAAAACATTTAGAGAATAAAATGACATAATATATAATTTATGATTACCAGACGTCCAGCAAAAAGAGGACAAATCATAATATAAAATAATATCAAATAGGCCTATATAATATTAATATAACAAAAAAGAATTAAAGAATTGTGGAAAATAAACTCTTGTAAGGAAAATCAGGGTAGTGTGACGTCAATTAAATTAAAGAGGTAAAGAATCAAAAAGTGACAATGTGTTGTCTTAAGCTTTAATAAAATAAAATTAATGTAAAGGATAAGAAGTTCAAGTATTATATAAGACTAATAAATATATGCTTTATATAAGCGTTGTTCCGACAGTTTTACAGTGTTCCACAATTGTGACTTCTTAAAAAATCCTGTTCCGTAATTGTGACTGACCATATCTCAGTCGATTTGAATGTAAAATTTAAATATCTGTTGAAAAACTAAACAATGCGTCTATTTTTATCGGAAAATGGATGGGCAATGCCTAGATACTTTTAGTTTTTCCATATGTCTAACCATTACGGAGCAAAAAATTGAAAACTAAAAGTAGCTGCAAACTGTTCTGCAATAGTGACTCTATCTGTTTTGATATTTCTAAAAAATGTCCTCAAAGTTTGTATTCGGCTTATTTCGATAAATCTAGAGTCTTTTTTTTTTGTGTGATAGAGAGAGAAGGGAAAGAGGAGGAGAGGTACTTTGTACGACTGTCAAAAAACAAACAAACAAAAAAAAACAACTAAATCTTAGTAGCATTGAACATCTAGATTCTCGATCTATTGTCATTTTGTTACATTCTAAAGGGGCGAACTATAGGATTACACTTAACAAAACCAAATTGATATTTCTTTCTATGGAGAGAACAAAAAGTGAAACCAAAGATCAACGTAGAAAGGGAAAAGGGAAGGTGTACGAGGTGACTCACTTTGTGTTGTTGGCGGGGCAAGGGGGGGGGGGGGGGAGAGTGTATATGTGGAGCGGGTCTTTCCAAATCAAATCTTTGTGGGAGAAATCAAGATGCGCAGGTAAAACAAATGGGAGTTCCAGAGAGTGAAAAAGAGATATTCATTTTTAAGCTCCAAAATTAATTACACAGTGGTTCATGCAGTGGCGTTCCTTCTATGTACACAATGGGCTATGTTTGTCCCCACAAGAAAAAAAACAATCTGTATTTTTTATAAACTCAGGTAAGATGCAAAACCTCTATTAGTTTTGTGCCATTTGTCTGTCGGTCTATCAAATTTAGAGGACAAAAGAAAAACTAGAAAAGTTTTTTTTTAATTCTTCTTTTGGGCAAAAAAAGTAGATAGACTAGAAGCCAAAAATTTTTTCCTTTAAAATTGTTATTCTGTTTTTAAATTTATTTTCAAGTGAAAAATAACTCAAATGATTCTTTAAAATTTTACTATTTTAGACAATCACCTGGTGGGGGCTGCTTCTGCGTTTGTGTGAGAAAACAAACTCTCAAAACAAAAAATCTCTTTATAATCTTTTTTATATTTGAACTCACTGTGCACTTCCTACAGGTCACGCCTTGATGTGAATAGCTCCATAAAAAAGCAGGAAATGAACTACGAAAAAAGTGTGGGATGGAAATGTGTTAGACCAGCTGTAAGGGAATATATACCTGGAGATGTGCTACACCAGCTGTAAGGGAATGTGTACCTGGAGATGTGCTACACCAGCTGTAAGGGAATATATACCTGGAGATGTGCTACACCAGCTGTAAGGGAATGTACTCGTGGATGTATGTGCTACACCAGCTGTAAGGGAATGTACTCGTGGATGTATGTGCTACACCAGCTGTAAGGGAATGTACTCGTGGATGTATGTGCTACACCAGCTGTAAGGGAATGTACTCGTGGATGTATGTGCTACACCAGCTGTAAGGGAATGTACTCGTGGATGTATGTGCTACACCAGCTGTAAGGGAATGTACTCGTGGATGTATGTGCTACACCAGCTGTAAGGACACATACTTTGGGATGTTGTACAAAAGATGTAAGGGAATATACCTAGACATGGGCTACTCTAGATGTAGGTTATTATACCTAGAGATCTACTTCACCAGATGTAAGAGACTATATCTGGAGACGTGCTACACTAGATGTAAGGGACTATACCTGAAGACGTGCTACACTAGATGTAAGGGACTATATCTTGAGACGTGCTACACCAGATGTAAAAGACTATATCTAGAGACGTGCTATACCAGATGTAAGGGACTATACCTGAAGACGTGCTACTCTAGATGTAAGGGACTATACCTGGAGACGTGCTACACCAGATATAAAGGACTATACCTGGAGAGGTGCTACACCAGATGTAAGGGAATATACATGGAGACGTGCTACACCAGGTGTAAGGAAGTATACTTGGGTGTAGCCTCATGGCAGGACGATGTTGATGAATGAATGTTGACTTGTTTATTGGCCGTGAAACTGTTATGTGTCTAGTCTCTACTCCTTAATGAATGCAAATGTAAACAGCTTACATATACAAATATGCTAATATACAAATCTTCAAGCGTGTGTGTACCTAGAGGTGCAAATAAATAGTTCAAGTTGTATTTGCGAATGCGTGGGTCAATGTTTCACCTCGGGCAGACTCTAAGAAAACAGTAAAACTATTTGCTTGTTATAGTCGAGGACGTCCTGGCAGTTTGACTTTGTTCTTCCGGCTGTCTACACGAGTTCGATCCCTGTTTGATATCATCCGCTTCCGCCCAGTAAGAAATAGCACAAAGGCTTCATTAACTTCACGTCTGCTGGGATGTCTGAAACTAACGAGTCCAAAACAATCTTAAAAGGTAGGGTTAGTTCGGTCCTGCACTAATCACCTCGAACTTTTTTTTTAAAGCTTCTTTATCTGTGAGGTTATTACTTTACATACACTCTTAGACATTAGTTTCAAAATATTCATTTTACTTTTTTTTACAAGAACAAAAATGAATAACAGAAGGATATATTTAGCTAGCTAACAATCTAAATACTATGACACTTGATTGATAGAAATGTGTAACATTATATCGATGTTTTTAAACTATCTGTTGTACCATTCATCATGGATGGCTGCATGGTCGTGCGGTTTGCGCGCTGGTCTGTCGTTCAAACTGTGGGAGGTTTAGACTAGGAAGTAAATTATCTTCAAATCTGAAGGAACATCCAAAACATGTAAAACGAACAACAAACAAATATCATATTAATTCCACGGAATCGAGAACTGGATGCTGCTTGTTCGTGTGGTATGCGCTCTGGTCCATCGACTGGAAGGATCTCGGGTTCGAACGCTACCCTCTTCCATCCTTGGTCTAAGATGTAATAATCTCCCATTCTGTGGTCATTTCTTAAACGTAAAACATACCAACTGAAGATTTACAAACTTTGATTTTATAAGCTCAGCCTTTATATAGAAAGCTAAAGCACGACTACCCTTCATCTCAACGATGAGTGAGTGAATGATGGATAACATCCCTCTCTGATGTAAATAGTCTTACAACTTTATTTGTAACTGTCTTATACATTATGTAGGTTTTGTTTTGTTGCATAATATTTGAGTCATTTACATTCACGTGTTTACTCGAGATTCTCGCTTGATGGAGCTAAAGGGAAAGCGAAAACAAGACAACAAAAAACGAATTTTAATTAGTGAGGGAGAGGGGGCTGTGCATGGGGGACTCTGACTCGGTACAATATATTTTTATAGTTTTGGCTGAGATGTCATTAGTTGAAGAGAATGGAACACTGAGCAGAAGTAGCTAGCAACACCTAAGAGTGATCTGTGACTAGTGCCCGTGGGACGTTGAAATAGATTGATTTGTTTGTGACCTTAAAATGGAGGACTATGTCACATTGATATATGCTGTTAAAACGTAAATTTTGTTACATCTATATTTTAACGAAAACAGTAACATTATCCTCTGTGTGCACAATTGTTACTGTGTTGTTACTAGTTGTAACAAAGTAACAAAAAATAAGTCTAGAACTAACTGGTAAGTAAATTAATTTTACAAGAAAAACAAACTAGATCAAGAAGATTTACAAATTATTTCATGTAGGCTCGTCTCATGGATAAGAGGAAACAAAGTTTTTTTTCAAAATGTTATTATTTTGCTATGTTAATAAGGCTTGTCTTCGAATCCAAAGATTAGTGAGGAATGCATTATTTCCTGTGGCTGCGCAGCCCCAGCTGTTGCCTACATATTTTGCCACCCCCAGGGCAAGCATAACCATTGTCCGCAGGTGGTTAATTTAGATTTTCCTTTCGCCGTCTGCGTTTGTCCTCGGCAGCGGATTTTCTTTTGGTCTCAAATGTGTATCCCGCGGCCTTTGTGAGTGACCTCCAGCTGTCTCGTTCTGAGGCCGCATGCAACCAAGTGCTCTCTTCTATGTCACCTAAGGCAAGTTCGCGCCTAAGCTGGTCTTTGAAGCGTTTCCGTGAGGCGCCTCTGTTACGTCGACCACTTTTAGCTCACCAAAAAAAAGACTGCCTTTGGCATACGATCGTCTCCCTACTCAGCCCCAAAGATGACCATAAACGGACAGCTCCTTAACGTGGTAGACCACTTCACATATCTGGGTAGTATAGTCTCGACGCCTCACTTTCAAGGGAAGTTGATGACCGTCAGGCCAGAGCCAGTAGCGCTTTTGGACGCCTTCAGGCGAGAGTTTGGCGGAATAAATCCTGCCTACTAAAATCAATGTCTACCATTCAACCCTTCTATATGGTTCTGAGACATGGACGCTATACAGAAAGCAACTAAGACTACTTGAGTGCTTTCACCAAAGATGCTTGTGCTCCATCATGGACATACATGGCAAGACTGCACTACAAACAGCGATGTCCTTGCGAACGCCGGTATGGACAGTATAGAGTGACTTCTTTTGGTCCGACAGTTACGCTGGGCAGGACACGTACCCCGTATAACTGCTATGTTATGATACAGCTAACGATGCAGCTGTCTTGTATCATGACAAGATGATGTAGAGTTCATTTTGTACAATCATAAATGAGTGTGAAGTTTTGAACCTATGTTTCGTGTTACGCTATAAGAGTAATATTATCTTGTTATAATTTTACGTATCCTTGTAACTGATATATAATAAACACAAGATGATCACATTTATAAACGCTATAATTGTCAGTATAGGAACGGAATACAATACTCGTAGAGATGTCATCTTTTTGGAAATAAAATCTTTTTTTTCAACGGTATTTTCCCCCAAAGGTGTTCCACCATGCTTCCTGCACACCTCATGATGACTTCATTCACTGCTTTCTTGCTCTGTTGTACCATCACATCGTCTCAATGTAAGTTGATGTTTTGACTCTTACACAATGTAAACAGATCACCTTAAGACACCTATACAGTATACACGTTTAGACCTCTAATTAATGTAAACAAATGTACTAGGATGTTTCTTTATTCAACAATCTGATGTTGGAGCAAATACCATAGAATATGTATTGCTCAATCAAACACGGTTTGAGTTTCCGACAGACAATGTCGTTTAGTGTCAATGAAATATTTTTATTTTCTGGAACGTTAAAAAAAATCGTACTCTGTCGCCATAAGAGCAAGGAGGCATTCAGGGTTGCTCCAAAAGCCGTCTGCAGCAGCCTCTCCGTTAATTTAAGCCTTTGCACAATAATGGTAAATGTCAAACATTCAAACAGGAGTTTACACCTTTTAAAACCTGCTCTAACAATTCTAAAGTACACTTTTCCAACTTTTATAACTATAATCCCATTAAAATTATGAAAGCGCTTTATTTGATTTCATTTAGTTTTATGTATTCTAGAAGTTAACTTCAATCTACCTTCTGTTACGAAGAAATTAAAGATAATTGAAAATTATGAGACAGAAAATTGAGAAAGAATTGTGCCAGCTTTAATATATTTTTCTATTCATCACGTGACCTATAATTCTAGAGACTCCGTAGATAATTGGAAACTGTCTTGTAACATTTTGTTTCCAACTTGTAAGCAATGAGACAAAAATGTATCAATGCTGTCAATGACTCGTTACACTGGAATATAGATCTAGGACTTTGGTCTGTGTTCAGTTGGTTAATTAATTGTAAAGGTAGTTATATTTTCTCTTCAATTTTAAACTACAATTTCAGCAATGTTAGCAATAATCTAAGTAGAATGTTATAATTTGTTTCAGCTTTGTCTCAGTTCATAATGAACATGGTTGCCCATCCTAATTTAGACCAGTTCACCAAAAACTTTATGAGAACCTCTGTAGCACAAGAAATGTTTGATATCGAAGTGCCTCCGCCAGCCCCGACAACCCCGCCACCAGAGGGCCAGTTTGGCAGGCCAGGAGATGCAAATATTTTCTTATCATCTTCTACTGGGCAAACAATGCTCCCCGGCTCATCGGCCCCATCTTCCACGAGCTGGAATAATGCGCCGCCCACCCAGCAAGGTCAAGGTCAAGCTCAAAGTCAAGGCGACGTTCGACAGAGACCGTCCGATGCGACCACAGTGTGGACAGACAGACCCATGCAACAGGAAATGACGTATGATTTCCAAAACAACAATATCCCTAAAGAGACATTTGAATCTCCACAGTCGAGATATAATAATGGTATTACAGGTTCAGGTCAGAGTTCGCAATTCTCGTGGCCAACAATGACGAACTTTGATACGTTTCCTTTAAGACCACCGTTGAACATTTTACCACAAATGAATGGATTTTTTCCACCTACTCTTCCACTGACTTCAAAATTTGATGCTAGCCAGATGGAAAGCACGGCTTCTTTTCAAGGAAATGCTCCAAGAAATGACAACTTTTCACCAGGTAGCTACCAATACCAAGGAAGTGTTTCGCCTGGCTTTCAGAATCCAAGCAATACTCAATCTAATTATCAGAATCCAGGCAATAATCCACAAAATTATCAGAATCCAGGCAATAATCCACCAAATTATCAGAATCCAGGAAATGCTCCTGTTAATTATCAACATTCAAGCCAGGCGCCAAATAATTTTCAAAATCCAGGTAATGCTCCTACAAATTATCAAAATCCAGGTAATGCTCCTACAAATTATCAAAATCCTGGCAATCTTCCTACAAGTTATCAAAACCCTAGCAATGCTCCTATAGATTATCAAAATCCTGGAAGTGCTCCAACAAATTATCCGGCAAATTTTCCTGCAAATTTTCAGAGGCAAGCTAGTGTTGCACCCAGTTATCAGATGCAAAATAATGCAGCAGATAATATGTTTCGCAACAATGTCCCAAGCGTTCCACAGAACCAAGAAAACATTCTTGGAAATTCACAAAGAAGAAATTCGGAAAATTATCAACATTATGAAATAAGCCCTGCAAATTTTCCTAGAAGGAACAACATTCACAGAATACCACAGGAAGTGCCGGAGACAACTCCTAGCCCTCCAAGCAATCCTTCTCCCAATGCAATGCCCGAAAACAATCAAATATTTATTAACCCTCCAAGGTCAGAATCTGTCTCACCCGCCGCGAGGATTCAAACGGAAAGCAATTTGCAGGAGAGACTAAACGAGCCGAGAAATAACTCACCAAATTTTCAAGCTCCACAATGGACCAATCAGGTGAAAGAAAACATCCCACGGAATTCGCCAATCAACCCCATGCACCAATTCCTGAATGCTAATAATGAGAATGTTCCACCATTTATTGGTCAGCAGATACCGTTCATAAGTCAGAATCAATTGCCGAATATTGCAAGGCTTTCCCCTCAAATTCAGACAGGGCGAAATCTCTTTGGGTCAGGTTACAGCATGCCTCCCTTCACAGTCTTGACATCCAGCTCGAGGTTTCCCAGCAACTTGCTTTACTTTCCTCCAGCCTCGTCACAGGCCAACTTCCCTTTACTTTATGGCCAACCAGCCCAGTCGCTGCCCACCCCAGCCCCAGCTCTGGCCAGCTTCGCGGCGATGCGCCGCTCTTCGCCTCATGATTTGCTTAAGTCAGGTCAGGTCATCATGCCAAGGTCAATCCCTTCGCCGTACGTCATGGATAAAATAATGTCAATGATTGGCTTGGAAGGGACGGAACTAGTCTGACCGAGTACCGTCTCTAAATGCTGTCTCATTGTGAAAGATCTATATTGTCACGGAACTCTTGTGTTGAAAGATTACTGGGCAGCATACAATATCTGGACTAATGCAGTGCATGCTAAAACAAAACTTGAATATGAGTTCTACTATCACTTGTCCCGTCTGTTTTCTGGTTGATGGATCAACTTGACTTCTAGTTTATTTCAACGTTTTGTTTCCTGATCTAATAAAAATGTTGGTTTGTTGCTTGTTGCTTGCCTTTAATTTTGTTATATTTTAATTACGTTTTAAATTGTCGTCTAAATTTCAAATTGAACTTTTATTCAAAGTAAGAACTAGAAAAGTTTTTAACTATACAAGTATACTTAGAGTTATAGACCAGTTTTGTTTTACCGATTAGATCAAATATAACGATCTCTCTAGATCAAAATGAACTTATCACACACATAAAGTCACGGTACAACAAAAACTTTTTTTTAATTAGTCGTGAATCACTCCCACTAACGACTCATTGAATATAGCAACAACCCTGGCAACAGATATTAATGTCACATTGATATGTCAGTGCCTTTGTTTGCACAGTTTAACACTATAGTTGAACGGTAACTGATGTTTTATTTTACGTTCAAGAAATGTAAGAGTACTACAAGGAACGTCAACAGTCTAACGGATGACTGATGACTAACACAGAGAATTCTAGGAACACTTATAGAAATGAGGCGCTTAGAAGTAGTTCTAAAGTCTATAGAGGTAAACAATGATGAAACTGACGAATCTGCAAGAGGATGACTCTGACTTTGATTAACTACAAGAGCTTCTGAGATAAAATGTAACAAATTAGAGAACAATGAATCCACAACGAATTTGTTACTTTCATATTAAAGAAGCTGGTATTTCTAAATTGCCATAGGTTTAGATTAGTTTTTTTTTAAAGCATAAATGAACTTATTTTTATGTTTCAATGCACTTTAAAAATATTATATGAAAATTAAGTCCGATAAGCCTCTTGCTTCATTTTCAATTGATTTATAATTCTCGTCACTTTGATAAACTTTATCACACACAATATTCAATTCAAGAAATATGTTTAATGTAGTTTCAAGTCTTCACTGACATATAAAACATTTAAATGTTCAAATAAGTATTGAATTGAAGTGTGTAATGGTCAAAACAGTGATAAATATAGCTAATATGATCCAGTCACTCACACATATAACCCAAAAATATAAAAGAATTTCAGTTTCCAAAGCTATGCATTGTTATTATTACTATTATAAGACATATGTGTCTGGTATAAGTAAAATAGTTGCCATATAATTGTTACATATGGAATATATAGTATAGTCATTTATAATTGATTCTTTTTGATGCTCCAAAAATCTAGCCCTTATTAAGGAGTCGGTCCGGTTTCTCTAGAGACTTTTTCATAAAGGCTAATGAATGATGTTGATGTAACAACTGAAGAACTGAATGAATCAACTGAATGAATCAACTGGTGATGTACTATGATGATGCTATTCCATCTTTGTTTTCTAAAAGTAAAAAAAAACAACTCGTTAACAGACATTTTATATTTGTATTATTGCAAAAACCCACACAATATAATTTTTATATACACATTACATCCATTGTAAGGTGAAAAGCGTATATCACACTACCACTATATTACACTCATACAAAACAACTGCATCCTTACAAGTGAAATAACTCTAACCTGTTTAGATTTTGTCAGTAAAGCATAAGATCAGTTCTGTTGACATAGAGAAGGAAATATCTTATTAATGAAACAGCCGAGGCCGAGACTCTAACGACATGTGCAGTGATAATGCAAAGCAAGCTGAATAAAGCTCCGAATATAAACGACTTTTCGAAACAAACTCCACTGTCATTTTGTGTTTATTGAAAAAAAAAGTTTCTATTCAGTTCTGACTACGAAGAAAGAGCTTCACACCCGAACCGCATGACAATAACTCCAGACACCATTAGCATCCGCACTTACGCAACATTCACACAACAGCACCACCTTAAAGGAGAGTATTTGAAACTAATTGTAGACCTGTACCGAGGCATTAGACCTTGTTGGAGAGTGTAACTCATTGTAGACCTATACCGAGGCCATTAGACCTTGTTGGAGAGTGTAACTCATTGTAGACCTATACCGAGGCCATTAGACCTTGTTGGAGAGTGTAACTCATTGTAGACCTATACCGAGGCCATTAGACCTTATTGCTCATTCCTTACTTTAGAAAATGTATTCCTTCATAACGTAAGCTCCAACCAAACCTCCCATGACGTCGTTGGCGCCACCGCTACCACCACTGGGGCGACCGTTGTAGTAGGAATCCAGTAAAGATGACTGAGGTGAGCCATAGGGATCTAGAGAATAAGCAAATCAATAAACACAAAGATCAGTCATTGTAATGATGACCTAAGTAGTGTTAGAAAAATAAATGAATTATTTCCCTTTGTAAACTATTGTACTATGTTGTTTTGTTCCCAATGCTACATGTTGTGAGGTATCTCTCAAATGCTGGGAAAAAAAAAAAATTTTTATATCGTTTTTTTTTCTTTTTGGTCTAACTTCAATGCTGTCCCCAGTCTTGCTGAGTTTCTAAGTAAGTATGTTTGTTCACTTTCAAATGTAGGAATAGTTATATATAGCTCCTCCGTCGTGGTCGAAGATGAGCACATTTTCTCATTTCCTATGGACTCGAAGATGACTGTAAAGTCCTATCCTCGCTTTAGAAAGCCCGACCGCAATACGTGGCATGGTTGGGTTAGGTCAGTTGCAGATAGGCCTGCTTCTTCTCAGCTTTTTATTGGTTCGGCGCTCTTTCACGCTGGCCACTCTTCTTGCTTCAAATGTCGTGACTCCGACACTCACAGCTTCACACCACGAGGAGCGATCGAGAACAAGTGCTTCCCAGCCGTCCTTGAAGGAGGTCTTAAGGGTGTCTTTAAAGTGATTATATTGCCCCCCCCCCCCCTCAGGAGCGCTTTCCTGCTCCCCGTACAGAAGTCAATTGGGAAGGTGAATAGTTAAACTGGAAAAATGTACTATGTGCAGTTTTAGGAATGATTGTCTCCCTTTGTAGCCTCAGCCTAAGGTTTTGAAAATACATTCTAGTAAGAATAAAACAATGCTTAAGATTGCCATGTTTAAATACGAGTGCAGCTTTTCATGTGGTTCGACCTACTTAATTTTTTAAAAATATTTATCGCCAAGCCTTTGTCTTCAGTGACTATAAAATTTCTCTTTATGCCATCTTCGCATTTTAGACAATCTCAATGCTGTGGTTCAGAACTAGAGTTTATAAAACTCACCGGTACCTCCAGCGCCTTGTTCCATCTCATGTTCCACTTGAGTGTTGCCGTACGATGACGCTGGAGCGTGCAATGCCGCGGCGGCTTCCAGCGGCATGGGCTTGCCAATGTCATGCGGGCCAACGGGAGGCAGGGGTGGTAAGGGACCGCCGGAGTTGGCGAGTTGCACCCTTAAATCTGTCATGGACATTGGGGGAGGAGGGTATAAGAAATTGTTTGCTGGAGGGCGAGGAAAGTTTGGCGGAGGTAAAAATGGCGACTGTGGAGAATACTGTGGCTGTGGAAGGTATGGTGGCTGTGGTGGCCCATAGTAACCTTGGGAAAAAAAAAGAACAATCAATTTTAGTTTTACAATAGGATAGTGGATCCCAATGCTTTTCTGTTTACATGTTTATTGTTAATATTACGCTTTAATACTATTGGTTTCAACGAAGAATTATTTGTTCAATATTAATTTCATTTGTCTTTCATCCCCAAAATACACATTGAAAACCAAGAAATCTTGAAACCAATTAATTTCAAGAACCACTGAGTGTTGAGAACCTCTGAATGTTGAGAACCACTGAAGTTAATAATATGCAAATCTATGGGTAAGTTGAAGGACGCTGAGTGAGATAGTATATTGTTATATGCCAGTAGTTTTAGTTGTAGCATTTTTTGTTTGTACATCTTCACTATGAATCCTTTTTTTGTAATCAGATAAAGTCCGTCGTAGTTTTATATTTCAAGGTAAAAAATGTGATCAATTGATTTGAGAATACATCCCTGAATGTTTAT